TATATATATATATATATATACGCAGTTTTCCGCACAACATCCTGCGATCGGCTCGTATGACCGTAAATATATTTCGTAATATCTATTTTATATGTGATATATATCTGTTTTTGTATATTTTGCTCACAGTGGGAAATTTGAAAGCAGCCTGCTCGGCGGTCGCGAGTTATTTGTTGTTTGTACCTGCCGACGAGACGATGCTTTACAATAAAGATTATTATAGCACTCAACCGAAAGTAGAAGAAGAATACTTTACGCCAAGAGAGGTATTTAAAAAAAAAAAAAAAAAAGTATTTTATTTATAATCCTTAAATCTCAGCAAAATAAATATTGATATACTGACGGATTTTTAATCCAAAAAATTGTTTTCAGGAGGCGCTCTCTTATGTGAAACGGCAGGAGTACGAGCTAAGGCTGCTGTATTACATATCACAGGAATTCACGGCAATCGATGCCAGATTCACCGCGTTCACCCAAAAAATTAATAATGCAAAAAAATTGAAAATAGAATTGGGAAAGGTAAATAAAAATATCACGATATAAAAAACTCGTGGAAAACTTTTACTTTGTAGATAATGTGCGGAGACTAGCGCATCATTGATTCGATTCCGGCGCCTGGTTGGTTGATGCGATCGTAAATATAATAATGATCGATAAAAATTCTTAGTGCGTATACTGTATTTTATTATATTTTTCAATTTTTATTCGAAGGGCGACGCGCGCATAAACGTTAATCAAAAAATATCGCGCGTAAATACCCGGTCGGTTAGAAATAACCGACCAACTTCATTGTGTTCCGGTACATTGCCACTAGCTAATCGATGTGTTAAAATATTGTTTACTCTGTTGTATATCTGTATACACATTTGAAAACAATAAAATAGATAAAAATAAGAAAATTTGCATATATATTATATATATATATATATATATGTATAAACAAATGTTGGAAATTATTTAAAAATAAACTAAAGTGATATAATATCAAACACACATGAGGCGTGTGTATATTGCTTACCGTATAAGGAAGACATTCGCTCGAGCGCCTGTTTAAATGCAACCCTATTTACTTCTACGATGTAGGAAAATCAGACGATTAGGGGATCAAAAAAAAAAAAAAAAAAAAAACAAAAACAAAAACGATAAAACATTTTCTTTTATTTTACTTGTCTCTATAACTGCAACGTCATATTCGTCATCATGTTCGTTATGTACTTTGATCCGTCTTTTTTTTAGGAATCTTTCTCGAAATCGACTTTGCATCCGCCTCCGGGTCACTCGCCATCCGCGCAGATGCAATTTCTGGACAATTTGTTGTCGTTTCGGTACGAGAAGAAAATTGAGATACCAAGGGTCACAGAGCGACCAAAAAATGTCACGAACGATGCGCGATTGATAATGGGAGAACGAGAGCTCGGCGAGATAAATCGTTATGCGGCCGACGGTTTTCTCAATTCCACCGAATGCGATTTGTTGATGCAACTCGCTCAGGTATCTTGTAACGAACAAAAAATGACGGTTTCTTACGAGTATTTGTTGTGTATTAGATTTATTCCCATCACTATGAAATACAATCTCGCAAGTGTATATTGTATGAATAATTCATCAACTCTTAGATTGCCGTGGAAGGCGATGGTTATGAAGAAAACAAGAGCCCACATTCGTCTTACGAACGTTTCGAAGGCGTGACTGTTGGCCGAATGGCTTTGGTAAGAAGCTCGATCTCGCATAAGACTCTTACCTTTCTTCATAGTTTATTATTCTAGTTTTTTGCATCAAAAATGTGACCGATGTGTTTTATTATTGTTATCAAAATTATTTATAGATGGTGTACTTCGGTCTGATAGAACCGGAACTGTTGAATCTGTTCTTGCAACGCACGGAATCAATTCGCGATCACGTGGAAAGGTATTTCGAGCTTGATCGACCGCTGTATTTCACCTACACCCATTTGGTCTGCCGAACGGCTTTACCCGGTAATTTTCATCTGAAACGCATCTCCTCGTGCTTCTGACGTCACTTTCGCTGACATACTCACATCAGTAACAGTTGGGTACGGCATGTAGACATTAATTCGTGATATATATGTAAAAAAGTAACATCTTAAGAACCAATACCCGGGAAAAAATGGAGATTAGATCTAACTTAAAATTTAACGAGATAAAAATAAAATGGAAAAATAGATCTAATTAGATCCAAATTAAATCTAAATAGATGTAGAGTAGATGTAAATAGATATAAAGTACAAATTAGCAAATGAAAAAGGTCACATCGAGCCAAAAAAAGATATTAATATAATAACATAGTGACCCAGATAGCCAAATGTGAAAACTCAATATAAAGCAAATCATTGTATAAATTAAGTTGCTCGCCAATTGCTGTTGTGTTGTTTTTTATTTAACGCAACGAATATGTTTTTGTCAATTCAGTATCAATATGCTGAGTTTTATTATCAATCAATTGTTGTAGCGCCAATGTTTAGGACATGTGAGTCAGCAATATGTGAGCAATATATGAGCAATAATTTTTATTCACAAGTTGAGAAAAATAATATAAGTTTATTGCCGATGAGTTGTTGGAAACTTGCTGTTATTATATTTTGAAAACTGTTGTTGGCAGGAACATACTGAAAAGAGGATACACCCTTTTGTTACATTGCTGAAAACATATGAATAATATTTGTGGCAAGTTGCCAACAACTTGCATTCAGTTGGCTATCTGGGGATTTAATGATCAACGCGTTACATGAGATAATATAAAAAATACGCAAAATATTTCGACTCTAACTGGAGTCTTCTTCTGGAAGTCGCAATTGTGAAACATATCGATAATATAAATAATATAAATACTATGATAAAAAATACGCAATATACATTTATGTCAAGATATAAACAAAGTCAAAGTTTAAAAGCAACGCAAAAAGTTGGCTGTTGATAGTAAACATGGTGTAATTACCTTGGAGATGACATTTAAGATGCCAGATAGTCAGACTCGAGCGTTTCTGTTAATTTATTACATTTTTTTTTTTCTAATATAAAGTAGATCTAAATAAATATAAGCAGATCTATTAAATTTACACCCATTTATATATTATTAAATCTACTTTAGATCTACTCAGATCTACTATAATTAAAACTACTCAGATTTAGTTGGATTTGAGCAGATCTGAACAGATCTGAGGTGATCTAATACAATAGATCTGAGTAGATCAAGAGTAGATCTAATAATAAATAAAAGTGTAAATTACCATAGATCTACTTTATATTTATTTAGATCTACTTTATATCTATTTAGATTTAATTTGGATCTAATTAGATCTCTATTTTTCCATTTTTTTTATCTCGTTAAATTTAAGTTCCCTGATAGGAAAACATTTACAAAATTATGTGACGAAATCTCGCACTAAAATTGTAATTTGCAATTATACAGGTATATTTTAGAAAATAGATATAAAAACATTGATCTTTTATAAAATATTTGTAGGTGCTTGCAAAATTAGTTTCCAAATACTATTTTGGTAAAAGAATAACGATATGGCGAATCATCTTAGCGGTATATTTGCAAAATTAATTTCAAAAAAGAATTGTTCAATAATTGAGAAAAAAATTTCAGCTATGTGATGTTTAAAATATGTAGAAATATAATTGCATACAAAAAAATCAACTTAATTTATGTATATACTTAAGGAAATGCATAACAACTCTTTCGCAAATTTTGACAAATATTATTTACAAAATTTTATTTCGACAAAACTGTTGCGTTGTGGCGAATCATCTTAGTGCAATCATTGCAAAATCGTCGTTATTTATGATGCCATTTTTGTGCAATATTTTAACAATTTGCCTATTAGAGTTAGATCTAATCCATTTTTTCTCGGGTACTTAACATTGTTCCTCAACAAATGTATTCGTTGTAAATGTTATTTACGCGGATGTTGTTTGTTTTTTTTTTCTCGCTTGAATTTTATAAATTTTAGAAAAGTATTTTTAAAAATTTATTAATTGCAGCGCGCATGATATAACGAATTTGAAAGGAAAAAAAAAAAAAAAAAAACAAAGAATTGCTTGAACACGAAAAAGTTTTACCTAGTTGTTCCTTCGGTTTTCAGATTCGCCAGCAAATAGAACGGATCTGAGTCACGAGATTCACGCTGATAACTGTGTGATAAAAACCGAAGGTTTCTGCGTAAAAGAATATCCCGCTTACACGTGGCGGGACTATTCGGCAATTTTGTATCTGAACGATGATTTTCACGGTGGTGAGTTCTTCTTCGTCGACGATCGGCGGGAGAGACGCCGCGTTCGGGGCACCGTTCGGCCTAAGTGTGGACGTGTGGTGGCTTTCTCGGCGGGCGGTGAGAATCTTCATGGTGTTCAAGGCGTGCGCAGCGGCAGAAGGTGCGCCGCGGCATTGTGGTTTACGCAGGACGAAAAATATCTGGAATACGAAAGAGTGGTGGCAAACACGATTCTGAAGAGAGTTCGCACATTAGGCGCGATACAGCGTGAAAATATCCGCATACCTATCAGGTGTGAGATTGCACTTACTTTTTAGATAAACTTACCTTTTAGATGTAAATGTTATTCGCGCAAATTCTCTTTTGGTAACGCGTTCCATTGAATCAAAATTTCAACACGTGTGATATTATTTTTCTTAGATATGAAGACATGTTGATCGAGTGTTTCAAGGAAGATGAAACGTTGAGGCACATACTGCAGGAATTCACATAAGAACGCATCCGGAAGTAGTACTGCGTGTATGTACCCAGCAAACAATTTCTGTTTTTGACAATTTCGGCGCAGACCTTGGTAACAGAAATTGTTTGCAGAAATGCTACAATACGGAAACACCGCCAAAATTGTTAGCACACAGAAAGAAAAAACGCAACAACTCTGTTGACAAATACATGAGAGTATTGCAGCCAAAACGATTCCATA